CAGCCATCAGAAGTTGGGTACACTGTGGTCAAAAAAAGGGATGGACATGGTTTGCAACAATACTCAGGAAGGCTGTGGTGTTGACACGATGCTCAATTGGGTACTAATGGGCCCAAAATGTGCCAAGAAAATATACCCCACACCATTACACCACCACCACCACCAGCCTTAACTGTTGATACAAGGCAGGATGGATTCATGCTTCTGATTAGAAATTTGCGCTAACGGGCAGTTGGACTGGTGTACCTAATAAAGTGGCCGCTAAGTGTATAGTTAGTATACAATTAGTGCACAGTGATCCTTAACATGTTATAAAATGGCTCTTGTTTTAAATATGGTTGTATTATATGTAGTATACTTTGGTGTGTAAACTATTGTCAGAATAAATGGCATTTCATTAGGTGTCTTCTGTAAATCATGTAAAAATATATATGATATAGTCTTCATAGGAGTTCACAGTAGTATGGAAAAAAAAATATGAATGTTTTATCTAAATATGTTAAGTTGATAACACAACTGGTCTTTTTAGTTGTTTGATCTTTTTTTGTATAACAAAGTCTGACTACTTCTCTCCAGTCAGCATTGGTTGTAAGTGACTTTCTGGAGCTTGAACTTGCATCATCATCCTTGCACAAATCTCGATGTCATAGAGACAGGAATAATCTAGGCATCAGTTTCCTGCTGGGTTGCAGAAACGGGCCTGCATTCTGTCGGGTGACATTGTAAAATAACTAACAGTGTTTACAGTTCTTTAAACAACATATATAGCCTCATCTAAACACACTAGCTCTGCCTCTCTGGACTGATGAGTAAACATAAGCTGTTTGCAGATGTGCCTTTAAGTACATGTCACACATCAGAGACCTTTGTGTTAATCATAGACTGGATGAGCTTTGAGTTTTAAAGGCAGATCCAGCATGGGTGAAATGAAAACATCTCTTTGACTAGTCGCTCATAGTGGGTGTTCGGCTTGAACTGATGATGAATTCTGGGTTGTGTGGATGTTGTGCGAGAGTTTCTACTGATTGTCTAGGAATGTGGGTCAGCTATTGTAAAAGAGAAGATTTGTCATGCGGCCTTGTGAACTGCAGGGTAGTAGTAGCATGCCTCATTCCATTGATTTTATATATATATTCCATTGATATTATATATATTGTATAATTCTATTGCTTCTAATTTATTATTTGTAAAAGTGGCAGAAGGTAGATTGTTCTGATGAATCATCCGTTGAACTGCATCCCAATCATCACAAATACTGCAGAAGACCTATTGGAATCCTTATGGACCCAAGATTTTCATAGAAATCAGTCAAGTTTGGTAAAGGAAAAATCATGGTTTGGGTTACATTCAGTATGGGGGCGTGTGAGAGATCTGCAAAGTGGATGGCAACATCAACAGCCTGAGGTATCAAGACATTTGTGCTGCCCATTACATTACAAACCATGGGAGAGGGCAAATTTTTCAGCAGGATAGCGCTCCTTCTCATGCTTCAGCCTCAACATCAAAGTTTCTGCAAGCAAAGAAGGTCAAAGTTCTCCAGGATTGGCCAGCCCAGTCACCAGACATGAACATTATTGAGCATATCTGGGGTAAGATGAAGGAGGCCTCAAAGATGAATATAAAGAATCTTGATGAACACTGGGAGTCCTGCAAAAACACTTTCAAGTTATTTGAGTCATTGCAGAGATGTATGGATGCAGTCCTCCAAGCTCATGGGAGTCATACACAATAATATTTCTTTTTCCACTGCACCATGACTTTATAGTTCAAGTTCTCTACTCTAGAGTCAGCGCATGTGTCTTCTCATCTGGTTTTGTTTTATTTTCACTTTTGAAAATGGTATAAGAACACTGGAGTCAAATAATCCTGAGGCCACATTTGTTCAAATGAGTTGGATTTGGTGAAATATGATGGACCTTGGTGCCTTTTTTTCAGACTGAAGTGTATAATTTGACAATGCATGAGTCTTAAACACCATTATATATGTTTAGATAAGATAATAGTTCTACCTAAATTAAAAATTCAAATACTGTATGACCTTACTTATGATTTGTTATGCATAACAAAAGTCAATATATTGTTGAAAAGGTGCTTCATAACAGAAAACAGCAGGAATGTGTTGGATTTGATTGGATTTGACTCAGATCACCATTGAACAGAATTGCACTGCAGGAAGATCAGCACTCGTCTCTTAGGATTATAGCTTCTTGGATATAACAGTGGCTTTCTTTCATGAAAATTTAAAAATTTAACACTTGAAAGAAAAGTGTACATTATACAAAGTATAACTCCTTTTAAGATTTTTTGTTGTATGCCTCATGTTTAAATAAAATTGCCTTCTAAATGAATAAATGATCATTTATAGTGTAAATATTATATAAAATATTAAATTTTATATATATATATATATATATATATATATATATATATATATATGTGTGTGTGTGTGTGTGTGTGTGTGTGTGTGTATATATATATATATATATATATATATATATATATATATATATATATATATATATATATATATATATATATATATATATATATATGTGTGTGTGTGTGTGTGTGTGTGTGTGTATATATTACATGAAATAAAAAAACTACAGGCCCTGGCAACTGATTATACATTGGTACAAGTAAAAATATATTAGCAATATTTATATTAAATATTAATTAATATTAATATTAAATAAATGTGTATTTAAATGGAAAGTAATGAAATTATGACAACATAACTAAAAACTCAGAATGAACACTGGAAAATTTAATAATTGAAATGCTAATTTAAAAATAAAAGAGTAATTAATGCTAAATTTACATTAGATCCCTCAATTAGCAGGAGTTTCATACTCCTGAAACAGAATTACATGTATTATCCTCTTCATCATGCACTGATTTGAGTGCATTGGCTCTTGAATAATGAGTCACCAAAGGAGGCCTTCTATGAAATAAAGAGGCTTTTATAAATCACTCATTTAGTTGGCCTGATTCTCCTACTCTGCAACAGACATTTAGTCATTTCCTCAGTGTGTGTGTGTGTTTGCGCATATAGGACACTTGCTGTCATGACCCTAGTTTGCTAGTGTGTGAGAGAGAAAGTTAATGAGTGGGTAAAGGGATAACAATGTTTTACAAGCATTTACTAAAGCTTAGCCTACTAGTAAGTTTAACCACCGACCTCAGCAGCTCTTACCCTCTAGATCTGTGCTCATTTTTCAAACCAGGCTCATTGGAAATACGTGCCTCAGTCTATATTTATGCAAAAACATAAAGTACGTTGTGCCAGGTATGTTTCAGTGCATATTTCAGTAATTGATTTCAGTAATAATCACATTTTGCAAATTTGAAATGCATTACTAAGGGTACATTTGGTCACACTTTATTTTGATAGTCCAATTGTTGAACATCTATGCCAACTAATACTCATTAGATTATAAGTAGACTGTTAGGTTGGGGATTTGGGTTGGGGTTACAGTGAGTTAGGGTTAGTGTAAGTTGAGATGTACTTGCAAAGTTTCTTATAGTCAGTTAAATGTCTGCTGAAGAAGCAGTATCAACAGATGTTAAGCAGACAGTCTACTGATACTCAAGTGGACCATCAAAATGTTACTGTACATTTTGTTAGATGTTTCAGAAACACATTCTTCTTGTACAGGTCTAGAAGGTTTGATATGTCATTTAGGTCACCAAACAAACCACTAACCTAAACTCTTTGCTAAACCTAACCAACAGTTTTTTTATTAAGCAAACACAAGATGAAATTGCACCCCAACCACATAGTTTTACCTTGATTTTACATAGCTTTAATTTCTCTATTCGCAAATTAGTTACACAGGACTCGAACAAAGTGAGCTATTGAGCAAACTGACCATGACAGAAAAACAGAGTCTAAACTATGAACATTGTTAAGTTGTTTTGCTGTATTTATTTGGTGTTGTGTGGGAAAAAATGTCAATACAAGCCTCTATAAATATCATTAGTGTGAAAAGGAACAAATCCCTCTATGTCTTACTGCCCTGTAGCATTCGTTTTAACAAGAAACTGCTGTCAAACATATTGAAGTACGTATGTAGTTTTGTAGAGGTATGTATTTCCAATGAGCCTGTGTTGACATATTCTTTCATGCTTCAAACTATTGATTTACTTTCCTAGTGTTAGTGTTTATGTGGTGATGCAGATGTGATATAGATCCAGTTATATTCTGTTTATAAATATTTTGCTGTAAATTCTATGTTTAACATTAGAATTATCCATAGCTACATTGATTTCTCAGCATCTTTTGGAGTATTTAGAGGTTACCTTAAAGGGACAGTTCATCTAAAAATAGCATCATCTACTATTTACAAACATTTAATGATGTCAAAAACTGTACTCCAAAAATTTGTAACCAACTCAAATACACTACCTGACAAAAGTCTTATCATTGATCCCAATTGTAGGAGCAACAAATAATAACTTGACTTCTAGTTGATCATTTGGAAAAGTGGCAGAAAATAGCACTCCTCATTCTTCAGCCTCCTCATCAAAGTTTCTGAAAGCAAAAAAGGTCAAGTTGCTCCAGGATTGGCCAGCCCAGTCACCAAATATGAACATTATTGAGCATGGGTGCAGTCCTTCAAGCTCATGGGAGTCATACACAATATTAATTCTTTTTCCACTGCACCATGAGCTTATATTCTATACTGTACATAATTTCTGTTAAGTTGTCTAAGCAAAGTCAGACGTTACTGTCCTAATTAAATAATTAAAGATCAAGGCATGATCATATTTTATTTTGTTAAAATAAGCATAATCTAGAGGCCTTTGCCTCTCTTATAAGCCATTTCTGATACCAAATGATTAACTATAGGTCAAGTTATTATTTGTTGTTCCTAAAACGTAGCTAGGCGACAAGACTTTTGTCTTCTCTCTTTAGGAAATCTAGTAAAAACACATAAGCAAAAGCTGATACATGAATGATAAGAATCTCTCCGTCTTCTTCTTTTCTGGATAAACAGATCTAAGCGATCAGCTTCTGGAGGTGGTGGGTTTGGAAGGAGCCATCGAAATGGGTCAGATCTATACAGGACTGAAGAGTGCTGGACGGCGCCTTGCACAGTGTTCCAATGTCACCATCAGGTCAGCAGTTCATGCCCATCCACATACACATTGACTAAGAGTTCAGTGTTTGTCCAGCTCATAGACAAACACTTGTGTCCATGGCTCTGAAACGTCTCTCTACACCCTCCCCCTCTGCAAGACGTCCACTCTTGGCCAATGCAGCCTATAAATCAGACCTTTGACCTGCTGTCATTCGCTTTGCCAACAGCTTTAACTTTCTAGATGCCTCACACTGATGAATAATGATGTTTGTAGCATGTCTAAACACACACACACACACTGCTCAGTCCTGATGTATGCTAATGAACCGTTGGAGACTCATCACGTCTGAGCTGCTAGTTCACAAGTTTGTGTTTCCCCGGCCTGCTTCGCTCCATTAAACCCTCATAATGACCTTAAGAGTGAGGAGTTTATTCACAATTCTTGCTGCTGTTTCCTCACCTGTACACAGGATGGTCTGCCTGCGACCTCATACTTTCCGTAATGGATGTTAATAGGGCATTCATCATTGTCATTCTCCCATGCGGTGTTGCTTTAACTTGTGGTGGCCCTGCTGAAAAGACTAAACTAACTTTTTGTTACATTGTGTTCATATGGGGACGGAGGTGCTGAACTGTGTGAGTGTGTTGGTTTAGAGAGTAAGGGGCCCGGCTGGGAACAAGCTGTGGGAACAAAGAGTGCAGTGTTCAGAGCCGTCCAGGAAAAGTGTTGTATAGGAGCCTCGTGCCCGCGTTCTGCCTGGTCAACGACCTGACCCGTAACAGCTCTGTCTTTCTTTCTCTCTACTTGTCTCTCTGTCCGCAGGACGTCCCGACTGCTGCCCATGCAGATTGATGGAGAGCCGTGGATGCAGCCGCCATGCACGGTCAGCTCACTTGATTTTTGCTTTCTTTTACTCTTTTATTTGAATTTCGGAAACACAGACTCTTTCATAAGCCATAGTAGACAATGTGAATAAACAGAACCAAAGGCCTTAATACCTTCAAGTCAAATCTCAGATTGAATTTTGAACAAAATGAAGCCAAAGTGAATTTTCGTTCAGGAGTTCAGAACAGTTTGCCACAGTGAACAATTCAATAAAAATGTATTTTGCTTGTAAACACTACTGTTCTCCCCTACAAGTGCAAAAGGATTAAGAAAGATTTTATGCATCAACACAACAGACATTATGTTACTTAGATCTGTTTTTGTTGTGACAGTGTGAACAGCCCAAACCACATGGAATCTAATCTTTTCAATTCAGATTTGTGCCACTTTCATATGTAGTAATAAATACAGATCTGATCCCTGACATCATATTGACTTTGTACCCCAACATCGTGAGGATGTTGAATTTTGTTAGGAAATGTCCAACGTCCAACCTAAAATCAACCTAACATCAACCAAATATCAACGTCTAATCATGTTACACTTTGACGTTGTGTGGACGTTACCACTATGACATGTATCAGATGTTAGATTTTGGTCACTTTCCAACACAACCTAAAATCAACCAAATATCAATGTAATTTGATATCGTTATTGGACATCGAAATAACATTCTACAACGCTCTCTAGAAATTGAATTTTAATCACCTGACGTCACGATCTAACCTAATATTAATGTCTTATGATGTTGTGTGGCGACTGCGATGTTTCAGACCGCAGTGTGATCAGTTATGTAGGATTTTATGTGACTTTTACATAATCTTCGATCGACATCATCTGCTCTTCAGCAGCATAGTAGAATGACACACAGGGCAAATACTTTACTATTAAGAGTTGTTCATTTTGAAAATGGGCATTTACGCAAAACTGACACTTGTTAATCAAACATAAACCATTTACCTTTAAAAAAATATTGTTCAGTTAAATTTAACATAAAAAATATATCCAAAAAAATTGCATAAATATTAATTGAATAAAGCACATTGGCCTACATATAATAGCTGGATTTCACTTTAATAATTAATCCATTAACAGAACCAAATATGAAAGACTATGATATGAATATGATATGAATATAAAAACTCAGCCTTCACAGGTCAATCTGCAGCTGCTCATTACTCTTGATGAGTTCACCAGTGGTCAGAAAGATGCGCACAAAGCCACACATGGTCAGTGTTTTGAATTACAAGAGGCCTTTTTTTTAGGTTTCAAATGCCAAAATACACATTAGTAGTAGCAGAACAACCATCTACAGTTCATCAAATAAACCACATTTGTTTGTGAAAAGTGCAATAATCATATTAAACTTAATCTGACAACGTGCGTACTTCATAAAGTACACACATTGTGTGCATAACTAGACATTTTGTGCTGTCCGTAATTGTACTTTTGCACATACAGGTCAGTTTAGGATCATGATCTGTTCACACTGGAAATCTGATATTGGCCACATTTATAACAACCTTGTGAACAGCTAGTTTAATCAATTCACCTGTACCGCATGTCATTGGATTGTGGGGGAAACCGTAGCACCTGGAAGAAAACCCATTTAACACAGGGAAAACATGCAAACTCCACACAGAAACGCCAACTGGGACAGCCGGGACTTGAACCAGCGACCTTCTTAATTTGAGGTGACAGTGCTAACCACTGAGCCTCTGTGTCACCTATAAATTAATATATATAATCTGTTTTCTCACCTTTCGTTTAAATAAAACCTGTTTGCATTTTTTTTTCCTGTAGAACATTAATTAAGATATTTTAAAGAAAGATCAAAAACTGTATTCATTGACATCCACAGTAAGAAAAACATATACTATAAAAGTCAATGGTTACAGGTTTTTGCCTGTCTTTAAAATAACTCAAACAAAGAAAGAAACTAGTTTGGACCAAGTAAAGCTAGAGTAAATGAGAACAGAATATGAAGTTTTTGGTAAACTTTTAACTTTCTAGAGTGTGAAAGTCATCATCAACATCATCATCAAAAGTGACTTTAAAAAATGTAGTTGCCCCACAAATGTATTTATAAATGTGACACTGACAATAAGACAATTAGAAAAATGATTTAATTAACTCAGTATACCTACCCACAATTTTATGACGGTCATGGATTTTTCAGATTTGTCCATTTATTTTCACCTTTTTGCTTTTGCATGGCAGTATTTCATGCAATTGCTAGAGATAATATGCATGACCTTGGAATTGCTTGCAATATCAGGTTATAGAACATATTGCAACTCAAAATGAATTGGCTAGTAACATCCAGTCTTTTTCTTTATTTTTATTGCTGGTTTTGTTGGTTGGAGACTGCTGAACCTGCCAGTGGTTTTGTTGGTTCGGCAAATTGCACCACAATGATTATGCTATACTACATTCCAAATGACCAAAGAATGTTAATACATGCATATTCTGGATTCTGGAAGAGACTGCTGAACCTGCCAGTTCTTAAAAATCCCATGAAGTAAAGTCATACAAATAAAACCCAATCGTACAGTGTAAACCTATTAAGTTGAGGCTACTCAAACGATTTGAGGAAAGTGATTCTCTCAGTTAATTCATGTAATGGGAAATCGACAAACTCATGAAATCAAGTTGACCAAATGTGGTCTCTTCATTGAATTAACATAAATTGTTTATTTACAAATTACTTAAAATGTTCAAGTACAGATCGTCACCTTAAAATTATAAGGTTCTATCTGACATTTTTTTTTTTTTAATTAAGTTAATAATATATTCTTATTAAATGACAAAGTATTTTTACATTATGGGATGTTTTTTATAAGTTGTTTACATTTTAAGACTTTTTATTTAAAAAACAAATGTTACACACATACTGTTTGCTATATAATGCAAAACTTTTATATTCTTTACTTACTTGCATACTCCCAGGGTCGTTTATATTGTAGTTGATATTTAGCAGCACCATGTTGGTTTCGTAACTAATTTTACAAGCTGGATCATTATCCCAAACGCTCAACCCTAACCTGGAGGACCAGGACATACACTTATACACTACGGACAATTTAGCTTACCCAATTCACCTTTAGCGCATGTATTTGTATTGTGGGGGGAAATGGAGCACCCAGAATAAACCCACACCAACACAGGGAGAACATGCAAACTCCACACAGAAATGCCAAATGACCAAACTGGGACTCGAACCAGCGACCTTCTTTCTGTTAGGTGACAGCACTACTTACCGTGTGACCGTGTCGCCCTTGAATGTTTATCAATTAAGAAAAATATTTATAAGCATTTAAATATCTACTTACTTATTTAACTTTTCTTTTTCTAACAAGCAAAATGACCACCTTGTGTCATATATTAACCAATCAGCACGACGGTCAAGGCAGAAGTTCAAGCACAACCAATCATTTTAAACAGAGACATGGTGAATCATTGAAATGAATTTAAATGTTTAGTTCAAAGAACATAAAATATTAATTGAGTTTTTGCTGCCTAATGAGTAAGTTAAACACACCTGTTTTAAGTTTTAAAGCCAAAACTTGTTATTTTAAGTAATGTCAAGTTATATTAACTTAATATCTTTAGTAATGACAACAGTGGGGTTTACAGTATAAGATACATAATCACCCAATATGCTTTCAAACCCAATCAATTCAGGATACAACCATTTTTCTATCTCAGAAAACAGTCTCCTCCATATTGTTTCAGCTTCGTACATTCAACCATCCCAGCGAGCAGACTGTTAATTAAAACACTGTCATGTCACACACTGCCATTGACTGATTATGTCATTAGGAGAGTGAAATAAACATGCAGCTTTCCATCTGCACGTAGCTCCAGCACAATGTCCTCTGCTATATATACTTCTCCATCAGCACAAACTCTATAAAAAGTGTGCCGCTGTGCTTTTAGTCCTCTCTAATTTGCCCAACTGTGCAGAGGGGAATATAGGATGTTATTTCAGTTTCAAGGTCAGCTCTCACGTTCTCAAATTTGTGCCCGTTAATCTGGACATGTGTGACTTCTGTCAGCTCGTTTGCCAAATGCGAGCAAGACAACTGTTTAAAAGACTGAGTAAATTAACAAGCAGAAGGATTTAACCAACTGTTCAGATTTGCTGTTCTTCAGAGAGTAATCTTCCCTTCTTATCTGCAGATACGGATCACGCATAAGAACCAGGTGCCAATGCTGTTGGGTCCGCCACAGAAAACGCCGTTCTTCTTCTTTAAGAAGCGCAACAGAAGTCGGGACTAGATGTGGGACTCCAAAGGTCACTCTTCTACAGTCATACAATCACACTCAAGCGTCTCCACCTTTCTCAGCCTCTTCTTCATCTTTGGTTGGTGAGACCCAAAGAGAAGAGACCATTCAAACCCTTTTTGTGAGACAAATCAATACAAACACAACACTGTAATGGGCCTCTAATGGATTCCATCTCCCAACACGGACCCTGTCTGAGTGTCATGACCACTTCCTGTGTCTTATCATCCAGATCGTCTTATCACAGGCCTGTGACCTGTAAGCTATGACTCAATTCCAACCAAATTCCCCCAGACCAGTAGGCCACTGCCTTGGGATCACACTGTGTGCCCTCTCTCTACTCTTGAGACGGCCCATCAGAAGATACTGCCAAATCCAAGAGAAAAAGAGAGGGAAGATTAGAAGAGCAAGGGAAATGGAGAACAAATGTGTTCAAATCAAAAAGAGAAAGAGAGCGAAAAGCACCCTGACACGATAATGTTCTTTACCTGAGGGTCGGTGGTGCACATATGGACGTCACTGGGCCCTGGCTTAGCCTAGCAGGACCAGGGAACAAACTTTCCTTCTGGAGGAGCTTACTGAATTATACATCAGTGCATGCAAAGCACTCATTCCAGTGCCTCTCCTAGGCCCTACAACATGCCACCGCTAAAGAGATGAAACAGCAAACTCATCCATTATGAAGATGTTTTTGGGGGTCTGCTGATAGGGATAGGCATAGATTAGACTGGCCTGAAAGAGATTTCAGCTTCTGTCGTTTGCTCGGGGCATTTTTTGCTGTTCATTTTTCAGGCCACAAAACTGACCGTGCCGGATTGGTTACAATAAATTAGATGTTCATTTAACCCCAAACTCCCTCCTAAAACAGCAGTGTTAGTGCTCAGTGTGGAGAATTGGACTTAAGGTCTTTCAAAAATCCAGTTTAAAGAAGCCTTGGAAGAGTTGATATGGTATTGAAACCATTGTATTGATCATTGAGAATGTTTACATCGACACCAATAATTCGATTAAATACGATTAGGACAATAATTTGATTAAGAGTCTACCATGTAAACAGAGATTTTTTATGAATATAACCAGATTAGGGTCATAATCGAACTAAACAGAAATTAAATTAAGACATGTGGTAGGACCATAACCAGCCTTGTGAAAGGGGTGGACCTTTTTGCTTTTTATGAGATTTAAATACTGCGTTTTAGTTTTACATTCAAGTACTACTTTAGCTGAAATGGATTGTCAGATGGTCATCATAACCAAAAAAAACACATTTGAAAATGGACAAAATGATAGATTCATTTTAATATGGGTCGCTTTTGATTCTTCACACCTTTTCATTGGTCATTTTTTGTTTTAGGAATAAAGTCCAAGATGTAGAATAAAAGTTACTTGTAAAATAATTTCTCTATTTAAAAACTACATACAGTAGAAAATAAGAAACAAAAAGTACAGTAAAAATACAGTAATGAAAAATGACTTCAATTACGTCAGACTGTGTGTTCTTGCACAGCTGAATGTTGCACATAAATAATTTTGTGCATTGAACAAAAACTTATTAGCTGATATGACACCAATGCGACACCCAACAAAGGATTCCTCTTGGTCTTAAAACCTAGCAGTCAATAAAGAACAAATGTGGTGTATGGGACAAATTCTGGACCTTTGTCTTTTGAACCACCTGAATGCCCCCGGGCTACAAGCCTGAGTGGAGTATAGTCGCATTATTGAAGTGCAGTACAGACATGTAAACACCTTAATCAAACTATTAATGTCATGTAGGATTTTAACCGCATTTTGCGACAGGATAGTCTATACACACACGGCTATTTGACACTGTTCTCTGCACCTATCGAGTCAGTATGGGACTAAAGACACACACCGCAAAAAGTTTTTATTTTCCCATAAGGATCAAATTTCATTAAAACAACACTTTACCAGCAGGTCATACTTGCGTCCAATATCTCGTTTGTCATGGGGGACATGAATAAAATGTTCCTGAATGAAAAGTGAAAGTGCCAAACTGCTGTTAAAGTTGACAAATTAAAAGTGAAACACTTAAAATTACATAAAACTCCAGATTCGAACACAAATGTGGATAGTGTGGTGACGCAATGATATTAATCAAACTATGTGCTATAACATGTAAAACGGGATCATGTAAGGAACATTCAAAAAGTAACTCATGTAAACACCTTAATCATATTATTGTCTTATTCAGATTAAGGCAAATCATTCCATTACTGACGTCCATGTAAACATAGTCATTGTTAATTAGCAATGTGCCAATTTATGCAATAATTGAATAATATTAATGATATTCTCAAGACAAAACAAAAGTATTGTGCCATGTAAGCTTGGTTGCAGATGTTTATGACATCTTTACACTAGCCTATGTTAGTTTGCCTGTCTGCTGGTTTAGAGGAATTTGAGCCCTTTTCAACTGATCAATCTGGGAGACTAGTAAGTTATCCAGCTGGATCAACTGAAGATCATCTTAAAGCCCTGTTTGCACAAACAAAATGATTTAACTCTAAAATTTGATCTAATTTCAATGTTTTTTTTTAAACAGATAAATATAAAAATGCAACTTTAACTTCTTCATTGCAGACAGGCCATCTCTGAGCCCCTGTCAAGCTGGTTAGGCTCATATCAGCACCAATTTGAGATTGAGAGAGATCATTCTGAATGGCTGTTCAGTTTAGTGAATTGAGTCGATGCGTAGAATTCAAAAAAAGTGATGAAAGCTTACTATACTGTCAGGACAGCTGTTCAAACGTTACTTCATTTTACTTGAGCATTGCAATAAGCGAATAAATTCATAACAACATGAGCTATATAGAATGAAGAAAGCGATAGATAGGAGATAGTGTATGTGTGTGAATAAGTGTGTATGCATGTTTCCCAGTGATGGTTGCAGCTGGAAGGGCATCCACTTTGTAAAACATATGCTGGCTGATTAATGAAAAGAAAATGAATGAATGAATTTAAATTTACCTATATAGAAAGTTATCCATACATGTAGTTTCAGACTGAACAGGCTAGTTTGCTCAGCTGTTTTCTTTACATTGCAGATTTTTGCTTAAAATCTGGCATAAAGAGACAACACAGACGACTTGTCGTCTTTTTACCACTCGTTTTGTTTGCTTGCAAAACTGCATTAACTTCAAGGTGCACTGTATCAAAATGTGCTCATGTCTTTGATTAAGTTTTGTTCCTGACATTATTCTAAGCAATTGGAAAATTGTGATAACCAATGGACAAAAGATCAACCTGGTGGTTACAACGCCTGTTGTGTGTAAAAGTTGTGTGTAAACGCAGCTGCAACAGAACGGGAGCCAGAATGGCCAGTTTTTCAAATGATTATCACACTAAATTTTCTCACTAAACATTCAGCTTGTTGTGAACAGGCTTTAATCAAGCTAAGATCAGCAAACCAAGGCTGTTTAAAGAAAGATTTTATCTGGTTTAAATTTTATCTGTTTTTTTGAAGTATTAATTAAATTATTAACAAATTTAGAGATAATGATAAAAGTCTATGGCAATTATTGATTTGTTAACATTAAAATGTATCAAGATGATCAATTTGGAAAATATATATAGATATATACACCATTTATTAATGTATGTTTATGTAATTTATAAACTTAACTACATGATTTAAGCCAATACCATTGTTTCAATACCATTGTTTACTGTTTGTTTATGTGTATTCGAAATATTTTATAATTTATAATGTCCAATTATACATTCCAAAGTCTGTAAATATATGTAGACTTTAACATGATTGACCTGGATTAATAAATGCTGTAAAACGTCGTTAATTTATGAATGCAAATGCATTGACTAATGTCAACAAACTGTACTTGAATAATCGTGCCACATATTTCTGAGAAAACGGAAAGTCTTTCCTCTGTAGCTTTACAGCATCTCCATTCAGAGACAGGCTGAACTTGATCCAGCACTGGCATTAACACTGAATCCTCTGGTCCTCAACTGTCACAACAAGCTACTGCAGTGGGGTTTGATTTACTGCTGCATGGACAGAGCCTAAATTTAACGTCCTATTTCAGGGAGTGAAACACTATTCCTAATTGCAGCATGAAAACATCAGCTCGCAATTTCAGGTCGACGGTCAAACTGGTGTGAATGCGGCACAGATGAATGCATAGAACGGGAGGCCCTTCGTTTTTCTAGCCCTTCTGAGAGGACTCATGAAGAATATTTAACTTAAAGATGCCCACCATGTATCAGTATTTGTATAATCCAAGAGCCTTGTGTGCATATATATATGAATGTGTTTAAAGGTGTAACTTAATATAGTATCAGAGATTAGAAGTGATACCTAATGGATCACATGATTGACTGTAGCCATCAGGCAGATGTGCCTGATATAGATCAACATGCAGTGATCATCAGATGCTTTCTCAGTGTGCAAAGGTCTGTGTTGGAACTGTATATAATTTCACCAATGCAGAATGTTTTAAAGTTCAGGTTTGGGCTTTAGAAACCGAGCTCTTAACGGGGTCGGCAGGTTAATGTTCCCTTTAAAGAACCGCAGAAGCTACGCCAGTGTCCTGAAGAAAAAAATAATGCTAATCTCTCCACATGACCACAGAACAAACGTTCACCTCCAGTCGCTCCGTTTATCATAGAAGTTACTGGTGGATTTGGCTAATAGAGCCCCATTGTTTCTGTGGTCGTTGGACAGATGGTTTATCCTGCGTGACGGTCTGGCGGTTTGGTTACGAGTGCATGTTTACAAATCTACTTTTCATTTTACAGTTTAGAATGATTTTAAACAGTCATGTATATATAGATATTGTTTATATTTTCTCTAAAGTTTAACCACCGCATGCCTGTTGAAACAAAGAAGACAAAGACGCCTGCCTGAAGAGAGAGAGACCACGCTGATTGTTGCAACCTCATTAGTTTCACATGATTATATTTTTGGGACTCTTTCCAAGCCCCTCGTATCTATATCTATCCACTGTACTTTTCCTTGACCATTTAGTAGCATGTTCATTGTGGATGTTCTGTTTTGTATTTTGTAGACGGAGGTTTTGATGCTGATCAAACTGAGGAATGTCACCTACGGGGAAATGTCATTTCTAAATGGTCCTTCTGTGTCATTTCTGTGAATAACTGATAGCCTTAACTTACCAATACAAAATAGCGTTTTGCCTGGAGCAAAGACTTTTGCAATACATGTCACTGAAAATAATCCACCGAACAAAATGAGAGGTTAACATCTGTTTTGCTGTGTTGCAATAACTCATTTTTGTTGTGTCATCACACTGGCCTACTTGCTCTCAGCTTTCAGAGTGAGGAGAGGTGGCAGAGCAAAGACCTGCACCTCACAAATGAGCTCCATAATGTCTCTGACACCACATATGTCTTCGTTTTTGGACTGGCTGACTTTTATCTGTTATTTTTAGCTGTTCGAAAACTGTGATTGCTCAATCTGCCCATCAATGTCTCTTTTCTCACTATAATGATCGGATTTTATCTGTCAAAACCGTGCTGCCTCTTGCAGGGTTGTGCTCTATTCAGAATTGAACTGACAATGCCCTTACATTTATTTGTATTAGTAGAAATTAATTTAAGGTAGCAAACTAGATTCTGAATTGCACTTAGTATTTGTGCTGAGCTGTCATTATTCGGTGCATTCCTTTTGCTGTCATTCTGTTTGACGTGATCAGAAGTCAAGTTAAATGGAGAAACATTCTGTTCAGTGCCAGCTCATGGGTTGAACACGAGTGAATGGATGGAGACCTTCTCTATTCGTTCATTTTCCTTCGCTTTAGTCCCTTTATTCATAAGGGGTCAAAATGCAGCGGAACGAACCGCCAAAGT